TTCATATAGTTTTCATACACTTTTTTTTTTTATTTTTGTAAATTCCTTCCCAAATTTCTCAACCAAACACAACATAAGAGTTTCTCAATTGGTGATATGTATCAATTTACTCTTCTCATGTATCAAATCGTATATTTTGATCAATTTAATTAAAAATATATATCACTCTCACCATTTGAAAAGAAAGATATTTATACAAATTTTCTAATTAAAAAAGGTCAAAATGGACATGTTTATAACTCAAAAAGTCTTGATGTAATTAATCATATATTACTATATTAAATGATATACAACGAAATGCTTACTACCAAATCATATTATGTCCAGCCATTCATCGAACGATCCACACTGATATATACATGATGATCATCTAAAAAATATGTGCATCAAATTATGTGTACTCAATTTAATAGTATGGTGCAAAATTGATCATGTGCTCAAAAATTTTCTTAGAAATGTAAAAAAATAACCAGATATGATTTTCTTGTGGATTGCATTTAACGAGATATGACAACCACATGCAATCGGCGTGTATATTCAAAAATATTAAAGATTTTAAAAATTTTATTAAAATTTTTATTAAATGTTTCACATAAGTGTAGGAATCACATATGGCTCACATTATGTGAGTTCTACACCTATATAAAACATTTAATAAAACTTTTAAAATCTCTAATATCACTCGTGAATATTTGTATTCGGGTTGCAGAGCTACTATATTTATTGGTCCAACCAAATTTGGTTTTTATAGTAGTTGGAGTCTTTAAAACATCCGATTATAAATGACACACATGCCACACGATTAACCCAGTTTTATTAGCTTACATATATGTCATTATCAACTTTATAATGGTTAAAAAAAATAAAATAAATATATTACCATATTGTGGATGGAGTAATTTTACATTTTATTACTTAGCTAAAAAATTTATATTAGGATCTTTTGAAATTCAGAAAAAAAAAATATAATAAGTTTTACAGTTTTGACATAATTAGATAGACCTAGTTTGTAGTATGGTTAAAAAGATTGAAACTAATGTAGATAGTTTTAAAACACAAGACCAATTTATAATATATATATATATATATATATTTCTGTGTAAAAGGTATGATAACATTTTTTTTATCTATATAACTAATGACTTATTGATAAAACTAAAATAAAGTGTTATGTGAATTAAAATTTTACAGGAATCTAATATGTATTTAATATGTCAAAACTATGGAGCTTGTTATATATTTTTCAAATCTCAAAGGAAGTCAATATAATTTATTGCTACTTTTTTTATATTTTTAAATCATTTACTTTTTTTCTTTCACTCCCATGAAAAATTAAACGAAAATAGCTAAAATAAAAAGTTAAAGTGTACATTAAAAAGAATAATTAGTTAAAGTAATAAATTAAAATTTTAATTAGATATTTTCACTAGTGTTGTTGGAGATGGTCTTGGTAATAGCACATGCAAAAGTACTTCCACCACAATATAAACAAAAATAGATAATAACACTTTTGAAACTATTTTCGGGGGAGAAAATTTTATTTTCCTGTAAGAGTTTTGCTAAGCTAATCACATTTCAAAATCGTTAGTTTAACAAGTGATTGTTAATTACACACTAGTGAGACCTATTAAAATAACTCTCAATGAAAATCCTTCACGCTCTATTACATTTTGAGTTATCATGTGGTGACTTATATAAAGTTAATCAAATAATCTAATTAGTCTCAATTTTTATTTAAAAACTCTTGCGGATGGTATAAGTGTTTTTTTTTTTTTATAATGTTTCAGAATTACATTAAAAAAAAATTCGTTCCATAATGCAATTATTTTATAATTGTTCTACTTATTTGTAATTTTCTAAGGTCTATCAAATGATGATGATATTAGAATTATATAAGGCCACATATCAAATAGTACCAAAATATAATTACTACACCATTTCAGAGTGGATGTGGAAGGATGGGAGCCCATACATTTAAGTTACTCTTAGATTTTTATTTATTTTTCTTTTGCACTATGTAAAATATTAACGGATTAATAATTTGTTTTTCTATCATAGAACTGAATAATAAATTAAATTAGCATAATCAAGTGTTCCAATTTTTATATCAATTTGAATCTTAAACCTCCTTTAAAATACGTAAACAAAAAATCTCAAGTTGGAGTTACTTTAGATGGACAAGTGATTTTATCATTTTTAATTTAATTTAATCTCCATTATTAAAAAGAGAATTATTGAAAATTTTATGTGCTCCGTTAACCTAATCATTTATTTAAAAATAAAACCTTATAGGTTAGTTACATATATATATATATATATATACATATGAATCCGTCATCTTTCATTTATAACTCATTTGGAAATTTATTTTTTTAATATTTTTTTGACATTTTATAAATAAAAAAAAATGTAGAAAATAAAGAGAATAATTTACAATTTATATTAATATTTTTTTGAATGTTTAACTAAAAAATTAAATTCCCAAATAACATCTTAGATTATGTGGCGAATATTTTATGTGATTGATTATCTATGTATTGATTAGAATACAGACAAACCCAAAATCGTAGCCCACCCGATTCAGGTTGTGGCTCAATTCAATGCCATGGAAATGATATTTAGGTAAAATTTAAAGTTTGAGTTTATGAAAAAACGTTAACTTAGTTTATAATCTAACTAGTAACACACTAGTATTTTGGAAATAAGTTTTAAAAAGTTAATTTTTTGACTTTTTAATTTTTACAAAAAAAAGTTATAAAAAAAATCACAAAAAATTAATTTTTTTTACATAAAAAAGTCACAAAAGCTATAAAAGTTTAAAAATTAATTTTTAATTAATTTCTCAAAACGCACTTGGTTAAACTTTTCTAAAAACACTTTTCAAAAAATTCTTCTTTCTTATTTTTTATATATATTTTTTATTTTTACTAAATTTTTTTAATATTTTAAGCAATTTTGTTTTACTTTTTAGACATACCTAACATAAATATACCTAAAAAGTAAAAAAATTGTAAAAAAACTTTTTAAAAATTCACTAAATACCAAAAATATATTTTTTAAAAAATGAGAATTTAGTACAATTTTTTTTATATTTTCATGTATTTATTAATTTTTTAAAATAATTTTTTACAAATTTTTTATTTTTTAGATACATTTAAGTAAGGTACATCTAAAAAATATTCACTAAAAACAAAAAAACACAAAAACTAAAAAACTTAATTTTCAAAAAAGTTAATCCAAAACACTCAAACCAAACACACACTAGTGTCGTTTGGGAAGTGGGTTAGCTTTTTGACTTTTTGGTTATTTTAGCCTAAGGATAAAAGTTTGATTTGTGAAGGACTTTTTGTTTTTTTTGGCTTTTTAACTTTTTGATGAGGTGTCCACGGAAGCTTCTATTTACACACACCATATTCCCTCTTCCCACACAGTTAATGAGAGAGAGTGTGTTGGAAAGTTGTGTGTGAAGGATGTGTATAGAGAGAGAGTGGTGTGTGTAAATAGATACTCCCGGTGTCCACATGTTAAATGACCAAACTGCCCTTGGTAATACCTTTTCCACTCCTAGCCGGCTCCTTCCTCCACATTAATGTCATTGCACTTTTTTTTTTTTTTTTTGGATGAGGCCTATTAAATTGGAATTCTTTTTTTTTTAATTTATGTTTTTGTCATTTTTATTTTTATTTTTATTTTTATACATTAATTTGTTTTTATTTTTCAAAAATGGTTTTTCATGTGTTTTATTTATTTTTAAATTACGTGGCAAATGCTAATTTCTATTTTTATTTTTATTTTTTTGGATGAGGCATATTTTTGTGGTTCTTTTTTTTTTAATTTATGTTTTTGTTATTTTTATTTTTATTTGCATACATTAATTTGTTTTTATTTTTCAAAAATAGTTTTTCATGTGTTTTATTTATTTTTAAATTACGTGACAAATGCTAATTTCTGTTTTTAATTTTTTTTTCTTTTTTTTTGGATGAGGTGTATTTTTGTGGTTCTTGTTTTTTAATTTACGTTTTTGTCATTTTTATTTTTATTTGTATACATTAATTTATTTTTATTTTTCAAAAATGGTTTTTCATGTGTTTTATTTATTTTTAAATTACGTGGCAAATGCTAATTTCTATTTTTTTTTCTTCAGATGAGGCGTATTTTTATGGTTCTTTTTTTTAATTTACGTTTTTGTCATTTTTATTTTTATTTGTATACATTATTTTGTTTTTATTTTTCAAAAAAGATTTTTCATGTTTTTTATTTATTTTTAAATTACGTGGCAAATGCTAATTTCTGTTCTTATTTTATCTTATTTTTTTGGATGAGGCGTATTTTTATGGTTCTTTTTTTTAATTTACGTTTTTGTCATTTTTATTTTTATTTGTATACATTAATTTTTTTTTATTTTTCAAAAATAATTTTTTATGTGTTTTATTTATTTTTAAATTACTTGGCAATTGCTAATTTTTGTTTTTAATTTTCTTTTTTTTTTGGGGAGAAGGTTTTTTTTAACTTTGTGTGTAGTGAGGCGATGTCCCTTTCAATAGGTTCATGTGGGGATCGTTTGGTAAATTTATCAAAGCGTGGGTTGTTGCCAAGCACCTGACAAACTTTTGTTTTCATTTGGCTAATTTAACTTTTTTTTGTCATGTAATGGCTAAAATAGCCCACACGTCTCTTGCCAAACGGAGGCACTATTTTGTATGGCTCGTTTGGAAAGTTGACTACCATTTTACCTTTTTTTTTTTTCCTTTTTTTTTTTTGTCATAACCATAAATCAGTTATAAAAAAAAAAAAAACAAATCAACTCTCATTTCAAACAAATTTTTTTAAATCAAATTAATTTTGTTTAATAATTTTCAATTTTAGTAAAAAATAAAAAATTATTATAAATTATCACATCAATTTTTCTATTACTTTCAATATTTTCTTTATGAAAAATTAAAAAATTATTAAAATTGCATATTATAAACCAACCAAATTAGCCAATTCCCATCCTCCAAGAAGCTCCTCTTGAATCACCACGAGCCAACTCATATATATACATGAAGCCAAATGTCGCAACCCCATTAACTCCTCTTGAATCACCGCCACTCGGTCCCGGGTCACCCAACCAGGGTCACCACCACCACCACCACCACCACCAATCAACGACGCCAAAGACGAAAACCCACCAGTGTTGTTGCCTATAAAATACCCTTTCTCTCCTACATTCTTTCTCGTCCTCCTCCAGAAGAACAAACAGCACCACCGCCACCGCGGGAGAGCAACCCACACACAACAACAAGAAGAAGACCCAACATTTGAAGCAGAGGGGTGGTGCTGGAGAGACAAAGAAAGGGTCCATTGTTGATCTCTTCTTCTTCTTCTTCTGGGTTTTTGACATTTGCCAATAACCAATTCAAAGAAGAAAGATGATGATAATGGTCGACAATTACATCGTGGGGACTTTCTTTGCATCTCTCCTAGGGTTTCTTCTTCTCTACATTTTGCGCAGCCGCAACGCCACCGTGAAGCCCGACAACAGACCCGACCACCACCACCACCATGCTTTTGATGAGATTCGAAATGATTGCGTTCGGAGCTCCATCAACGGCCAGCCCCCACCCGATGGAGGACCCGATACTGACGTCATCATAGTCGGTGCCGGGGTCGCCGGTGCTGCCCTCGCTCACACCCTCGGCAAGGTGACTTCTTCTTCCTTTTTCCTTGCTCTCTGTTTGTTTCCTTGGAAAAAAGATTGCTTCTCGGGAAAAACAAAATATATGATTTTTCTGGGTCCCGTTTGTTTTACGGAAAAAGTGTTTCCGTGGAAGAAAGAACCAGCTTTATTGAGCCTGCAACTCATTTCATTTCAGCTTACGGTAACGGAAGAAACATGTGTAGATCAACTATTTTCCATAGAAACAACTCTCCTCCATTTTGTCTGGATGGATATTTATTTACTGTGAAAAGATTAAAAAGAGAGAAAGAGAGAGAGAGAACTACTGTTCAGTGAGAGTTTTAAAAATTTATTAGAGATTCGTAAAAAAAATGATTTTAATTATCAATATTTATAAAGTTTACCATTTATTTGTAATTAATTTTTCAAAACTTTCACTCAAGTGAAATTTCCCCTAAAAAAAATGAACATGTTTCTTGGAGATAGTTTTAGATAGCAAACTGTAGAAAATTGAATAGTCACCGAGAAGCTGTTGAGTCTGTTACCATTATTATTACTACTTTTTAAAGATTTTTGGGCTGATTTGCCATTTTAATTAAAAATGAATCGAAGTTTTTGGGTTAGTAATCCTGTTTTCATTCGGGTTACTGGTTGATGGGTTAAGGATGGTGGGTAGCATATTTGTTTTTTATTTTTTTGGGGAAATTACAACAGTGTTTGGTTTTTGAATTTTGTGGTGCGATTTGTAGAGAATAGAGAAAAATAATTTCTACTTCAATTTTCTTTTCATATGTCCTTTTCTTTTCTTTTTTCATTCTTTTTTTTTTATTAAAAAAAAATAATTAGTATGCTTTGGAGTTTTAGTTTGGAATTTTAATAATGAAAATGAATGTTAGCCTGTATGGCAGACTTATCACTAGTATGGCACACTTGGGAGATCTACAGTCGGTTTGGATTGAGCAATTTGGTTAGAAACAATAATAATAAAGAGAAACAATACGCTGGTTGGTTTATAAATTAGGTGAGAAATATTGAAAAATGGAGAGAAAAAGAACTCTTATTTTGCTAATTTCATTTCTCACAAAAAATGGTGAGATTTGGAAGAAACTGATTGTTTATGTATTTTTTCATAATACTAAGATCATCTATCAAAATACAAAAGGAAGGAAAAGAAATCGCATTCATATTCCTATCTCACGTGCTTTGCTTTTTTAAGTATACTGACTGATCTATGAGCAATAAATCTGATTTTGTTTCATTATCAATTTGGTTTAATTGGGTTGAATGAGACACGTGCTTGCTTTGTTAAGGACCTGAATTTATGATGATAAAATAATTGTTTCTTTTTCTTTCTTTTTTTCCTGTTATTATGCTTTTTTTTGGGTCCTGTTTATGTATTTATTTATTTATTTATTTATTTTTTTTGCGAAAACCTTGGAACTCCAATCTTATTTCTGCTATTTGTTGCAGGATGGACGGCAAGTTCATGTAATCGAAAGAGATTTGACAGAGCCCGACAGAATTGTTGGTGAACTCTTACAGCCAGGAGGATACCTAAAGCTAATTGAATTGGGCCTCGAGGGTATGCAAAAACTTAGCATGCATCATATACCCTTCTATTAGTTGATAATATTTGAGTCCATTGACAGACTTTATTATGGTCTTTTTCCTTCGTGTATGGTTTGTTTTGGTTGTGAATGCTCAAACATATGAACTTGGACTGCAGATTGTGTGCAGGAAATTGATGCCCAGAGGGTGCTCGGATATGCTCTTTTCAAAGATGGGAGAAATACTAGATTGTCTTATCCCTTGGAAAAGTTTCATTCGGATGTGGCTGGGAGAAGCTTCCACAATGGGCGGTTCATACAGAGGATGAGAGAAAAAGCTGCTACCCTTCCAAAGTATACTTTCTTGCCCATCGTTGCCTATTTCGTTATTTATTTGATTGGTTATTAATTGATTTTGAACTATGTGAGTTGCCTTATTATAAAATCAGCTAGATGAAACCCAAGAAATTTTTAGTTAGGTTTTAAATTTTGATCCTTCAATACTTTTGCCATATTGGGAGTCTGAACTTGACTTTGTTTTGAAATGGTGTATTGTGGAAATTGACATTTTTATAACTAATCTGCTTCATAAGTACTGAAGAATTGTAGTATGTACATCTTTTAGGGAGCATTGCCACCTATACTAAAAACCCATACTAGCCGACATAAATTTTTTTTCTTCTCCCTATTATTTTAAACAAAATGACAAGCTACATCACGTAAATATTCAAAGTACACTCACCGCACACGAAGGATTATTAAGAAAACACTTGATTTTCCTTATATTTTGTTTCATTTCTATAATACAATCATTAATGCCTTTTTTTTTTTTAATTGTCATTTAGAGTTTTGAATCTACTGCAAGAAATTCAAGCACATTCAAGCTTTTAATGTTCATTCCTGGATAATTGTTTCATTACTTTTTTTTTTTTTTTTAAATTGATTCGACTCCCCCATTTTGGGTTTGTTTTGCTATCCAGTGTACAATTAAAGCAAGGAACTGTAACATCCTTACTTGAAGAAAATGGGACTATTAAAGGGGTTCAATACAAAACCAAGACTGGTCAAGAACTTAAAGCTTATGCTCCTCTTACAATTGTTTGCGACGGTTGCTTCTCAAATTTACGCCGTTCCCTTTGCAAGCCTCAGGTAAAATTAAATATTTACCTGTCTATTTAACTACTATTTTTACTAATGCAGCTGATCAAATCATTCTGATTTTTCTATTTGATTTGACATATCATCTTGATTTTCTATATGCACACTTCTCACTTTATGCTATTCTGTGAGATAATCTTCTGTCATTCTTGTCTTTTTACAGGTAGATGTGCCCTCTTGCTTTGTTGGCTTGGTCTTGGAGAACGTTGATCTTCCATTTCCAAATCACGGGCACGTTATTTTAGCAGACCCCTCACCCATTTTATTCTACCCAATAAGTAGTACCGAGGTTCGTTGTTTGGTTGATGTACCTGGTCAAAAAGTCCCCTCTGTTGCTAATGGTGAATTGGCAAACTATTTGAAGACCACAGTGGGCCCCCAGGTATCGTATGCTTCTCAACCTTTTTGTTTCTCATTTCACTCTTGCAACGGGTTTTGACAAGAACACATTTTATATGCTTCCAACTATTACCTTGGATTAGTCAAAATGATGTTTGTTTCAGATTCCACCCGAGCTGTACAATTCATTCATAGCGGCTATTGATAAAGGAAATATTAGAACGATGCCCAATAGAAGTATGCCGGCTGCTCCCTACCCTACTCCTGGAGCGTTATTAATGGGTGATGCTTTCAACATGCGCCATCCGTTAACTGGTGGAGGAATGACAGTGGCTCTCTCTGATATTGTTGTCCTACGGGATCTCCTTAAGCCTCTGCGTGACCTGAATGATTCAACTTCATTGTGCAAATACCTTGAATCCTTTTACACCTTGCGTAAGGTAAGCTGGATTCAAATCCTTGCCAATACTGAAGTTTTAAGGAACTATTTCATTTCATAGATGTTATTTTTTGCTCTCCGTTAAGTTTAGTTTATGATATGTCTCACTTGTTTTGCAGCCTGTGGCATCCACTATAAATACTTTGGCTGGAGCCCTATATAAGGTGTTTTGTGCATCCCCTGATCAAGCAAGGAAGGAAATGCGGGAAGCATGTTTTGATTATTTGAGCCTCGGAGGGGTGTGTTCAACAGGACCAGTGGCTTTACTCTCCGGTCTAAACCCTCGCCCATTGAGCTTGGTACTCCATTTCTTTGCTGTGGCTATATATGGTGTTGGTCGTCTCTTACTACCATTTCCCTCACCTAAACGCGTGTGGATAGGAGCCAGATTAATTTCGGTATGTTATGCAATCTTTCAATTATAGGATTTGTTACCTTTATGACATTCCCTCTGCCCTGCATCACCATTCATATTTTGGAACCATACAAAAGATGTGTGCCAGTAAAAAAAGACTGGTTTATTAGTGCTCAATTCTGTTAGTTATTAAATAATTATTGCCTCCATTGCCATCAAACTGTTTTACAACAACAGCTATCATCAGACATTATTTTTATTTTTATTTTTTTGGAGTATGAAAACCAACCCCAAGAGACTTTACTAATTAAGCTTTCTAGAACCTTCTTACACCAATATCATAAATTACCATAATTCTTGTGTCTAAATCACTCCCGACCTAGCAATATTTTTATGTTAATTTGTGCAATGTTATGGTCTCTAGTTGAATGAGCAGTAATATAAAAATTAGTAAGCTATTGGTGTTAGTTGCCGAGTATTTCATGACTTTGTGTATATCAAAATTAACTTTTATGAACAACTCAATTTTGTAGGGTGCATCTGGTATAATATTTCCGATCATAAAGGCTGAAGGAGTCAGGCAAATGTTCTTCCCCGTAACCGTCCCTGCATATTACAGAGCTGCTCCAGTTGAATGAAGTATAGAAATTCAGCTTGAAAATCAAGGTTGCTTTGGCTTGAAGGCAAACTGGCTTTTACCTTTAACCCCCGCCCTAGTTCAAGTTGATGGTAATGTTGTACCTGCTTCTAATATTTTACCGAGTGGGGACGTTGGGAAATTTGTTTAATTTTTGAGACGACTAGAAACTGAGTTTAAGATGTATTGATGGAAATTTCCTTAGAAACTGTGAAAATGTTTTTTTTTCCCAACTTCGCGATAGTTCTCCCAAGTGAAATAAATCTGCAATTTTTATTTTAGTAATATTAATAATGGCCTCCATTCTGCAGTCTTGAACAAGGTCTGTATGATTGTGAGATGTCACGATTGAGACAGTATAAAAATAATTTTTTGTTACATTCAGGGTACGTGCCACATGATATAGTGTTTTGTCTTCCGTAGCGTGTTAGTAATGCCCAAGAGTTGTTCATATGATTTATCTAACCATTGTTTGCTCATATTTCAGTTATGTTTTACACTTACTGTTTTTAAAAACAGGGTTGAAATTAGACAAATCAAAAGCTTTATCTCATGGGTGCTCAGGTGGTTGTGTCTACAGATTTCCAGAGACACGCTCGATACCCACTTGATGGGTACTAGAGCGGGGTCCTGGTCTAGGCTGGGTTTGAGCATGCTGCTCAAGTGGTTCGTGAATTTTTGGAAATTTTTTTAAGAGAACTATAAAGGGGGCAACTCTATTTTGGATCAAAGATGTCAAGATCTTTGTAGTTTCCTAAGTTTGGCTTGGCCTCCCTAGAAGTAAAAGGTGTACGCTACTCTCACCTATATAAAGAAAATGAAGAAAATTTGAATAACCTTTAAGACCTCAACTTCTGACTACTTTTCCATTTGTGTTCTTTGAAAAACCCACAAACTTGTACCTTCAATTGCAGAGAGTCAAAACAAGGAGTTTCGTGGTTGTGCAATCTAAAGTCAATAAAAGGCAGATGGGCCTCAGAGTCGCCTGGAGTGTGAGATTGAATGAGGATTTCATGGTATAAGATAGTATTGCAGTGACAAGGCGCATGTGGTTTTTTCTTTTCCTTGGAAATTTACTACTTTGATGGTAGCATTTTGTTCTGATGTTGTGTGGTTAGCATATTTTATATATTAATATGTCTGAATTGGCAACTTGATTTTTGATTGGTCATAGTTTTCTTGGGGTGTGACCAATTCACCCTCGTCTAGGTACAGTTAATCTCAAGCTGTAATGTCATGATCAACCACATTGCTGATCTTCATCGCCTTACATTTGGGTTTTTTTTTTTTTGATTGAAGATTGAAGATTGATTATGGCAATAAATTACATTCTGAGACTTTTTGTTGATCAAAGATTAGTTACGGCTTTAAAAAGCAGCCAAAAACTGTTATGTGAACGGTTTTGGTCATGGCCGATTTTGATACAGCTCGCTGTGGCTGTGCTGAAGGATTTCATGACTGTAACGCCGCTATGGAGGTTGTTCCTGAGCATATTAGTGGTATTTGGACTGCTGCTAGATAATGCCGAATTGGTCAAAAGTGCTTTGGAAGCCCAAGCATATGGCCTAGGGTGAAGCTGGTAATAAAATTTGACTGCTAAGAGATAATCTTCTACTGCTATGACATAAAGGCTTACTGTTGGAGAAGTCTTGAGTTGCTTTTATTGAGTTGGTGAGCTTGTAAAAAGCTTGGATCTATTGTTGGAAAGGGATTGAAACTCAGTCTTTTGTTCTCGGAAGTCTAAAACAACACTAATGATGGCGTGTCCAACCTCTTAACATCCTCCACTGCATCTACAAGAAAAGTGTTGGAATGAAGAAAACTCGTGAGAGCAGAGGGAGAGAAGGAAAAATTGTTTGATGATTTTAGAGTATTATCCAAAACCACTCATAGATAGGCAACACGAGTACGGTTGCTGAAGTATGGGATATTCACTCAGGTATAATACTAGCATGGCAACATGGTACTGTCTAATTGAATTAGAAGTTGATTGATACATGGCTTATTCTCCTTACTTCTTCTAATCTTGTTACTTTACCTTGGATTCAATCTCTGGTTGATGACTGCAGGTTATTCCTGGGACATAAATAGATTGTTCAATTTCATTATGTTTATCGAAAGGTGAATTCTGTTGCTGATAGATTGGCCAAGCAAGCTGTTTAGTTTTGATATCATATTGTAACCAAAAGCTACCTCTTGAGTGGCATTTCCATTTCTCAACTTGGTGAAGGATACTAGCAAACGTCTTAGATGGATCAAATTTTCAATATGAGGTGGTATATTATTGACTCCACTCCCCCGAATATCAAGTGCTTCAAGTTGACCAATTTCACCAATGTCATAAGGGAGCTCCATTAAATCTTTGAAATCATTTAGATATAGATTTTTCAGACTAATCAACATTGATATTGATGATGGTAACAAAATTATTCCGATATGAGATAAATCCAAAACTCAAAGATTTTTCATATGTTTGAAGAATAACTCAAGGATTTTGGTCAGATCCAAATTTTTTTGCAGGAAGAGTGTGGAAAGCATGGTACAACAAGGGGGATCTGGTAACCAAACCAACTCATTGTCACCCAAGGAGAACCTATTTATGTCACTCCAAGATTTCACATCTGGTACCTTTCTTAATGATCTATTTGTTTGTACAAGACATTTACATTCAGGATCATCTTCTGTTATATACAAGGCCACTTGTCACATGAATTTGTGCATTGTAACGTGATTCTCACTCTTACCTTCCTCAAGTAATGACACATTCATAAGGCGATTCAACATGCAACGCGCAATCATGACACTTGTCTTTGTTTTGCCATGATCATTGCCAAGGAGATCTTCAGCTGCCCAACACTCCAACAAAGAATTTGTGTTTATGTCAATGTCTTCTGGATATAATGCACTATAAAGAAAGCATTTCTTTTGTCGGTCCTCATCCAAGTCATCATAACAAAATTTCAACAGTTTGTACATTTCTCGAATGCCTTGGCATTCTTTTTCAGGCCACATCCTCCAACTATTCAATCCCTCACTCCAAAGGTACATGTCATTTTTCAATATGAAAGTATTTGCTACTTTTTCAATCAATAGTGGAAGTCCACCGCACTCTCCACACACTCGCCATGCAAGTGGCCCAATTTCTGGATTTTCAACAAGTTTTGGGCTTCCTAAAAAATCTTGAAACATAACTTTATCGCATTAGGATTCTGCAGCCAAATATAGAGGACTCTCCCTAGCAATATTAGGATGGCATGCCATTTCAACATCTAGTTGTAACAAGAAAAGCGACACATCCTCGTGTCCATGCCTTAAAGCTTCATGCAACACTATGGTGCCCTCCAAATTTGTCAACCGCCACAGTATTAACTCTTCTTCTATTTCCATTCTAGATGGATTTTCTTCTTGTTGAGAGGAGACATACTTGTAGTAATTCACAAGTAGTTTGACCACTATGAGGTGACCAAACCTGGCTCAAACATGTAGTGGGGCATTTGAAATGACTTGGTACTTGAAAGATTGGTAAGGAGAGAGAGAGAAAAGAGAGAGACTGGAATGAAAGATTGGTATATTCAAGTCTGTTATTGTATTTGTGTATCTTTACAAGAGAATGAGCTCTCTCTCTTTATAGAGAGGAGAAGGGGACAATGGAGCACCGGCGAAAGCATAAGATAATAGTAAAAAACAATATAAAAGTGAAAGTGTGTGGTAGTGGGTTTACAACTACAAATGCACTATGATGTATATTATATGTTAACAGCCCCCCGCAAACTCAAGGAGAGTAGGCATCGACCAAGTTGAGTTTGGAAACAAGATCACGGAAGCGCCCAGGAGGATGAGCCTTGGTGAAAATATCAGCAGGTTGATCGGCAGAAGCAATAGGGAGAAAATGAACAGTACCACGTGTAACATGCTGTCGAATGAAATGACAATCAATCTCAATATGCTTGGTGCGATCATGAAAAACATCATTGTGAGCAATCTGAATGGCACTCTGATTGTCACAATAAAGAGAGGTAGTGCCAGAAGAGGAAACACCCATATCAGTGAGGAGCCAGCGAAGCCAGAGAAGTTCCTGAGTAGTATCAGCAAGAGCTCGGTATTCAGCTTCGGTGCTAGAATGGGCAGTGAGGGATTGTTTCTTGCTACGCCAAGTAAGAAGAGAACCCCTAAGAAGAAACAGAATCCCGTGGTGGAGCGTCGATCCGTAAGATCCCCAGCCCAATCAGCATCAAAAAGGCACGCAGTTCAAGAGAGGTGGAAGCAGAGTAGTGAAGGCCATGGAACAGAGTGCCTTTGAGGTATCGAAGGATGTGGAGTAGAGCAGTATAGTGGGGAGTGCGAGGAGCCGACATGTACTGACTAACAATGTGAACAGCATAGACAATGTCAGGACGAGTCACTGTGAGATAGACAAGACTACCGACGAGCTGGCGATAAAGAGTAGCATCATTGAGGAGAGCCCCATCGAAAAGAGTAAGACGAATCTGAGGATCAACTGGAGTAGATGTAGTTTTGCAATCAGTAAGACTAGCACGAGCCAGAAGATCAGATGCATATTTGGCCTGAGATAAATAAGAACCAGTAGAATCATGAGAGACTTCAAGGCATAAAAAGTAGTTAAGAGTACCAAGGTCTTTCATCTCAAACTAACGGTGGAGAAAACGTTTGAGGTGGAGAATACCAGCTACATCATTACCAGTGATAATCATATCATCCACATACAGAAGGAGAAGAGTGGTATCATGAGGAGTAGTCCGTATAAAAAGAGCAGAGTCATAGGAGCTAGAGGTGAACCCGAAGTCATGAATGGTAGAACTGAACTTAGCAAACCAAGCGCGGGGTGCTTGCTTGAGGCCATAGAGGGCACGCTGTAGTTTGCAAACCTTATGAGGGGGAAAAGTAGACCCAGGTGGAGGTTGCATGTAGACCTCCTCAAGAAGATTACCATTGAGGAAAGCATTTTTGACATCCATTTGAAAGAGCTCCCAGTGGCGAGCAGCAGCAACAGCCAGTAAACTGCGAACAGAGGTAAGCCGAGCAATAGGGGAGAAGGTTTCCTCATAATCAATCCCATATTCCTGGTTGAAACCCTTGGCAACAAGACGAGCTTTGTAACGTTCAATAGAGCCATCAGAATGAGTCTTGATTTTGTAAACCCATTTGCAACCAATCGCAGTTTTGCCAGAAGGAAGATCAACAAGATCCCAAGTATGAGTTTTGTCCAAGGCTTGAAGTTCATCAGTCATAGCTTGCTGCCAAAGAGGATTAGTACAAGCCTCACGATAGGAGGTAGGTTCATAAGTAGAAAAGGCAGCAGACCCAACAATATAATCACGAAGGTGGATAGGAGGTTGAGTTACCCGGTGTAGTCGACCCTTAGGAGGATCGGTGGGAGGAAGAACCGGTGGAGAAGAAGGTGGTGCAGGGAGAGGTGGACCTTCAGGGAGAGCAGTCTGGTCAGGAGCAGGAGTGAGCAAGGGCGTCTCAATGAAGGAGGAACCTATATCAGAATCATTAGAGAAGAGATCTATGGAAGGATTAGTAAACAGTACATTAGTGGAAAGTGCAAGTAAGTGAAAGGAGGATAGGAAGGAAAACATTTGGTGCTCCCAAAAAACAACATGGCGGGAGATACGAAGACGTTTAGAGATAGGGTCCCAACAGCGAAAACCTTTATGTTCAATTCCATACCCAAGAAAGCAACAAAGACGAGAATGAGGTTCAAGCTTGGTGTGTTCATGAGATTGAAGGAGAACAAAGCAGGCAGAGCCAAAAACCCAAAGATTAGTATAGGGAGGGGGAGTGCCATGCAGATGTTCAAAGGGAGTTTGATTATGGATGACAGGGGTAGGAGCACAATTGATAGTGTAGACAGCAGTGAGGGCAGCTTCCCCCCAAAAGCTTTCAGGGCAGGAAGAAGAGAGAAGGAGAGCGCGAGTAGTGTCAAGAATATGCCTGTATTTCCGTTCAGCACGGCCATTTTGCTGGGACGTGCCAGCACAGGAACGATGAGGCAGTGTACCATGACGCTGAAGAAAAGAAAGGAAATCTGAATCCCGATATTCCATAGCATTATCAGAGCGAAAAAGTTTGATGGACTTGGAAAATTGGGTGTGGATCATTTGGGCAAATTGATAATAAAGGGTTTTGAGTTCAGACCGAGTTTTCATGAGAAAAATCCAAGTAAACCAGGAAAAATCATCAATAAAAACAACAAAATAATGAGATCCCCCCATAGTAGTAGTAGGGGAGGGCCCTTAAATATCCGAATGTATAAGATCAAAAAGTGCACAGGAAACAGAAGTACTTTTATTGAATGATAAAGCAGGTTGTTTGGCAAGTTGACAGGGTATACAATCGAAAGTATCTGGAATTACATGACCCAATTGTCCACTAGAAACCAAAGACTTTAAGCGATTAATAGAAATATGCCCTAAGCGACAATGCCAAAGATGAAAAGGAGATAATGAGGAAGTAGATACAGGAACAGCGATCTGAGGGGAGTCAGGAACATGAAGGTGAATGAGCTCATAGAGACGTCCGTGCTTACGACCGATCCCAATAGTCTGCTCCGTCTGAGGGTCCTACACCAAACAATGAGTAGCAGAAAAAGTGACAGTTAGACCAAGTTCACATAATTGACCAATAGAGATAAGGTTTAAGGTGAGAGTAGGGATATGATAAACTTGAGGTAAAGATAAAGAAAATGTGGAAACAGTACCAATATGACGGACAGTCATGAGAGAACCATCAGCAGTTTGAATTAAGGGAATATGAGGAGATGAAGAGATGGAAGAAAATATAGTTGAACTGGAGGTCATATGATTACAACAGGCAGAGTCAAAATACCAAGAAGAGTTACCTGGAATTACAGACAAAGCAGTATGAGGAGGTGTACCAGAAGGGGAGAGAAGGTGTTTGAACATGGCCTCGACATCCATTGGAGAAAAGAGAGGAGTTGACGGAGCAGGAGACTCAGAAGAACCCTCAGCGGCAGCAGCAGCAGTGTGATGAGACTGATTCCCGGAACGATGAAAGCTCTCCCGAGGAGAACCACCGCGAGAAGAGTGGCTGTTGGAGGATGAGCGGGATGGATTGCGAAAACAATCCTGTTGCAGATGACCAGGACTAAGTTTGTTGCAGTATCAGCAGGTTCTGACGGGGCAATTGACCAAGAGATGTGTTGAAGGAAGGCCCCGATTCTGACAGTAAAGGCAGGCAGTGGTCCGCTGGGTGAATGATGGCCGGTACGGAGGAGTGGCAAGAACAGAGTCTACATGATGAGTTTGGAGAGTACCAAGACGAGTTTCCTCTAATAGCAACTCAGAAATAGCTTGTTCCAGAGTGGGCAAGGGATGGCGATGAAGAAGAGAGGCATGTACGGGCTCAAAAGATGAAGTGAGAGCCATGAGAAAGTGCACAAACCTTTGCTGATTTCGATAGGCAGTAAATAAAACAGCATCTTCTCGGTGAGGCTAAGTCGATTCGGAAAGAGCAAGCTGGTCCCAAACGGAGTACATTTGAGAAAGGAAGTCATTGATGGACTGACTAGATTCTTGGCGCATCCGATGAAGTTGGCTCTGAAGTTGATATTGATGAGCAAGACCAGTAGTCTGGTATCGTTCTTTCAAAAAATCCCAAATGTCTTTTGCAGGAGTAGTGACAGAGTCAAGCTGAAAGTGACCAAACTGAAGACTGATAGAGGTAACAGAAGTATTTCGAAACCAGGTAATGATTTGGTAATTCTTACTGTCCCATTCCTCAAGGCGATCTTCATATGTAGGAGTAGCAGGAGAAACTGTGATTTCAGCAGTGTCTTTCACCGGTTGGGTTATGTTCCCGGTGATAATTCGCCAGAGCTTCTTTCCTTTGAGGAAGGAAGACATGGCTTGGGCCCATAGAACATAGTTGGAACCATTCAAAATAACGGAAATGGGATGAGAGGCATTATGACGATCCATAATAATAGTTGAGTAGGGCTAAATTGATAGGACTAGAGTTGTAGGAGCAAAATTAGGTAAAACAGAGTGTACCAGTGAGTCCGGAAGGTCGAAAATAGCTAGGAAAGGTGGGCTGTGTAGAGATGATGTCAGCAGGATGGAAAATGATGTCAGCGGCGCACGTTAGCAGAGAGGGCGTGCGGCGCACGGTAGCAGAGAGGGCGTGTGGCAATAGTAGCAGAATGGCGCACGCGGGTGCACAATAGCGGAACAACGCACGCGCGGCTCACGGTAGACGAATGGCGCACGCGGGTGCACGGTAGCAGGCGCGGCGCACGAAAGGGCAGAGTGGAAGGCGCGTGTGAGCGTGGCAACGGAAGCAGAGACGCGCCGAGCAAAAGGACGGCGCGTGAGAGCGCGTGAGAGCGTTTCTGGTGACGGGCTTGGTGCCGTTGGAATCGTAAGGAGATTCCGAGCTGTTTGGTGTAGTTCCACTGTGTACGGGACTAAGCACCAAAATTGAAGAATGCCAGAATTGTATTACTGTGCTCTGATACCATGAAAAATTGGTAAAGAGAGAGAGAGAAAAGAGAGAGACTGGAATGAAAGATTGGTATATTCAAGTCTGTTATTGTATTTGTGTATCTTTACAAGAGAATGAGCTCTCTCTCTTTATAGAGAGGAGAAGGAGACAATGGAGCACCGGCGAAAGCATAGGATAATATTAAAAAACAATATAAAAGTGAAAGTGTGTGGTAGTGGGTTGACAGCTACAAATGCACTATGATGTATATTGGGTTTACAGCTACAAATGCACTATGATGTATATTATATGTTAACATAGAGTATTATCCAAAACCACTCATAGATAGGCAATGCCACGAGTATGGTTGCTGAAGTATGGGATATTCACTCAGGTATAATACTAGCATGGCAACATGGTACTGTCTAATTGAATTAGAAGTTGATTGATACGTGGCTTATTCTCCTTACTTCTTCTAATCTTGTTACTTTACCTTGGATTCAATCTCTGGTTGATGACTGCAGGTTATTCCTGGGACATAAATAGATTGTTCAATTTCATTATGTTTATCGAAAGATGAATTCTGTTGCTGATAGATTGGCCAAGCAAGCTGTTTTATCACTGCTCATCTTACTTGTTTTGTATTTCCTATTATGGAAAGATGGTTATAATCAGCTTTTTGGTGAAAAGCTGCTTATAAGCAACTTTTTTGTGAGAGAGGAAGTGGGTTATAATCTGGGAAGCGGATCATAACCCACTTCCCAAAATAGGTTGTATTTTTCGACACACTTGAGATGGCTACCCCCACATTGTGTAATTAACATTTCCTTATAAATAAATAAAATTCACCTTTTAGATTTAGGGGGTAAAAAAAATAGTTGGCCACCAACAAACTTGTCTATTAAAACCATGGGTGGCATTATGTTGGCTCGTTCGACATAGTTCTATTTTTTCTAAAATTTGGAAAAATAATTTTAGTCCGTAGGGTTGAGTTGGGTCAACATTTTCAACTTAAATATTAATAGGCTAGGTTTAAAATTTATACTTTCAACTCGGCTTAACTCGACTACTATTCAATTAACCAATTATAATATATTAAAGAAATATTTTTTTATCTTTATTGATTTTGTTGAAACTGACATTTGTGGTAATGTGTGATTGGATTTATTTTTTTAAAAAATTCAATTTATATACAAAATACTTTAATTTATAATGATATCAATATATGTAATTGAACTTAATTATGAAATGTTTTAATTTTTTTAATATATAGCCCGATGAGTAAGCTTTGGATTTAAAATTATTTTTTAAACTAAACTTGGACAGATATAAATGTCGGATATTAGAACTAAACCGGACTCAAGCTGTCATGACCCCAAACCGCCCCTAGTAGTTTGGTGCCGTGATGGCCAGTAATCCGAGATTACCGAAGGCCAACTTTCAAAATTCACACACAATCAGAGTATAGATATAGGGGGCTCACAAGTGCGGAAGCAATAATTTAAAATACAAGTGGTCCATAAGAGCAGTGCATAAGTCAAATGAAATGGCATACATCTTTACATAGCTTTACAACTTGAATACAAATAAGATGAAGTACAAAATACATATTACATCTTGGTAAAAGGCTTCTCAAGCCGACATGTTCAAAATACATGAAATACAAGTCAATAAACAAAATCTGTAGAATTGCCGACATCCTCACTGCCGACATCCTCACTGCCAACATAATATGCATACAAAACACACATCTCGGCGAAGCCGATTTCTTGCTTGTTACCTACATATATACATAGGGAGGATGAGCTTGGATACTCAGTGAATGGTATAAGTAATAAAGGGGTTAAATGAATGATACCCGAGATCCTTTCAAAACAGTACATATAATACCCTTGTCCAAAACCATACATAACATAACTTAGCTGGGCTTGAAATGAAACATCGTTTGAAACTTGGTCTTTCAAAACATATTTACATACTTAACATACGTCAATTCAAAACATGGGGTGATGACATTCCAAACAAAACAACTCCACCCGTTTATAGACCGTTGGTGGGGGCTATCTGTTTATAGACCGTCGATAGCAGATCAGACAAATCTACCCGTTCATAGACCGTCGGTGGGGGCTATCCGTTTATAGACCGTCGATAGCAGATCTCCCGAACATAATGCTACATGGGCTTAGAGTCCCCTAGCATGGAAGGACTTTCTAAGGATGTCGTCCAAAACAAAGCTAATTACTTGATACACGAACTTGTTACACAAAATAGGGGAAATCATTCATGCTTAACAAATACTTTCAAAACAAAGCAAAGCAAAGCCTTTATCAAAACGTATAACATAGCTTTATTAAAAATACCACTCACATAGTTCTTGGGACGTCGGGGTCAAGGCAAAGGTCCAAGTCCTACAAACACATGGCAAACTATGCTAAACGTACATCCCAAAACAAGTCTTACATGCATGTAAATGATCTCGGAAAAACATGCTGGAAGTCAAAACACTGTTTTACATGTCAGGAAGACATGCTGGGTACTAACCAGGTCTTTGCCGAGGTCCCACACCTCCTGGCCGAGGTGTGGCTACCTAGGCTTCGGCGTGCGGCTGCATGCCGAGGTGCGCACAAGGCAAACTAAAGGTGTAAGTGATCATGCAAGGTAGGCCAAGGTGAGATATGATGCTTGGCCTAAGTGTGAGGTCTAGGTAAGAGTGATCTCGGCGACTACACCTCGGGAAGTGAGGTCTGGAGATCTGGGTTTCCACCCGTGAAGAACAGGAAGAACATGAACATGAAGATCACGAAGAACATGAATGCTAAAATCATAACTTCTTTACTACAAAAATCTGGGATTTCATGCTATGAGTTCGAAAATATAGACCTGGGCACCCATACTTGAAGATCATGTGAAAACAAGCACAAAAACATGGATTTAGGCATGAGCTTTCGGATCAAAACATGACTTTTCTTGAAGAACACATGAATACTATTTTCTCTTTCTAAAATCGAACTTCAAAGCAATGCATGACTTACAAATCTTATTCAATCATGCAATGCAATACCATAAACATAAAGAACAACGTGGGTAGATCAAGAATCTAACCTTAGAACACGGATCTAACGGTTCGATCTCTAGGAATCAAGATTAGAAATCTACCTCCTCTCAAGAACTCTTCTCCCTCTTCTAAAGCTTCTCTCTCTTCTCTTCAAAACAAGTATAGAAACAAATGATGGGTTTCTCTCTCTGCCGGCTGACTTAACACTCAGTTCGGACACGTGGCAACGGCTGGTTGGTTCTTCTAAAAAAGGTGATAGATTGACAAGACAAGACTATGACAAAGTGTATCTAACAAGCTACTCGATATGGCACTCCGGCAAGTGATGACATCGGCTAAGGACAAAGCTTCGGCTACTAAGGTGACAATGACCTCGGTTAAGAAGGACAACACTTGACTAAGCTGTGCCACACCTTGGCCTAGATGTGCCACACCTCGGTCTAGGTCATACCACTCCAGGACAAGATCACTTGGGTGCAAAGGTAACATCTCGGCCCAGATAATACACATCTCGGCCTTGGTGATGAACACCTCGGCCTAGATAATGACATCTCGGTCAATATGTCAGGGCGAAGGTGGAGGTCGAACAAAGGGTTCCAAGATAAATTCCAGACTGAAGATGGCCTCGGCTTGGAATGATCTAGGCGTAACATAACCTAGGCTTGGCATGACCTAAGCTCAACATAACTTAGGCTTAACATAGCAGGGAAAGGACAAGGCATGCAAGCAACACTTAGACATAACACATAAACACAAAGCAAGACAAGATTCATGAATGCAAACTTAACAAGACAAAGCTATGAAAATAGACATGAACATGACTATAACATGAGTATGGGTTGTTATAGCAACTTAACATGGCAAAACATATAAATGCATGCAAGCATGATTAGGACATGAATGTGGGTTGTTACATAAGCAGACATAAATTTTTTTTAGGGTATGACTTCTGTCAAGTCCGGGAACGGACTGGACCGTGCTGTTGGGCCCATGGGGGCCCACCACGGATCCCGTTTTGATAATCTGAACCGTTCAATGTGTAGAAATTGTCGAGTACTATATGCTTATAAAAAATCACATTGATTGGATATCGATGGCTATGTGATCAAAACAGTTTTTTTTCAACTGTTAATTTATTCACCGTCTAATTTTTTTAATACGAAACTGGTTTGATCATATAGCTATCGATATCCGATCAACGTGATTTTTACAGACATATAGTACTCGACGAGTTCTACACATTGAACGGTTCAGATTATCAAAACGGAACCCGTGGTGGACCCCTACGGGCCCAACAGTACGGTCCAGTCTAATCCTGAACTGGACAGAAGCCATACCCTTTTTTTTTATTATCTAGTGTCAGCTTGACCCGACGTAGGGTAGTATCCTAATTAAAACCCAATGCAAAAATAATAGCCCCACTATCCTAACCAATTACACACAATTTGGGCGAGAATCACTCAATAATTTCTCCTTTCTTTTGCATTTCCTTTAATGTTGTGTTTGGTTAATAATTTGAAAAGAGATTTAAAAAAGATATATATATATATATAAAACTAAATAAAATGTAAATATATTTTATTCATATTTTATTTACTTTTTATCATTTTCTTTTTAAATTCCTTCTCAAATTATCTAACCACAATGTGACTTCACAATATCGAAAACCATATGCTATCCTTAGGGATGTAAAAATGGCCTTCGGTCCGTGGATAGCCCGAAACCCACCTGCGGCTTGGGATAGGCCTAGCTCAGTTAGGCCTGGGCCCGAGCCCAACCCAAGACCTTGGGCTTAGACTTGGGCTATCATTTTGAAGTCTTGCCCAACCAGTGGGCCTTGCAAATCGAACCGCTCAAGATCCAGTCAAAGCCCGACTTGAGACTCGGTCCACTCGACTTGCCCAAGGCTCAGTGTCATTTTTAATAAAAAATAAATAAAATCTTAATAAAAAAAAAAGGAAAAAAATAAATATTCAAGCCCCGCCTAAACCCGAGCTCACTTACCCAAGCTCGAGGCCCTAGCTGCTGGCCCACCCAAGACCTAAATATCCTTAGATTTGAAACTAATTTTCTGACCTGTGAACCGTCCTATCCCGACACAAATTTTGACTGCATTCCGATATGGCCGGCCGGGCTCTATTTACACCCCGGGCTGTAGGGGTTTAAATAGTTTCAGCTTCAAAACTGATCAAATTGACATTCGCGTCGCCGAGAAAATGCACAGAAGCTATAGCTGACACAAAACTGCGCGTAGGTTTTCCCCCTACGCAAAAAATGCAGCGATTTTCTTCAAAATCAGTGTCTCTGATCAAAAAATGCCATCTTTCCCTTCTTTCCTCCCAACCAAACAGCCACTTTCACCTCATCCCCAGTGAATCCTATTCTTCTGTCACATCCCATTTCTCTTCCACTGATTCCCAATCAGTTTCACCCGAAAACCCATCAAAATTCAACCCAAATCACACACCCTCCAAAACCTATTCCAACACTGAAATTCCCATCAAGTCCAAAAGAGGGTTTGGTCTCATTTGCCTCGAAAACGATCTAGACAACTCCACCACTGACCACAACGACGACGAGTTTTCCTCTGATGTCGAAAAGGTTTACAGAATTCTCAGAAAATTCCATTCTAGGGTTCCAAAATTAGAGCTTGCTTTGCAACAATCAGGCGTCGTCGTGAGGTCGGGGCTAACAGAACGAGTCCTGAGTCGTTGTGGCGACGCCGGAAACTTAGGGTATAGATTCTTCGTATGGGCTTCGAAGCAACCTGGTTATAGACATAGTTACGATGTGTACAAGGCTGTGATCAAGAGTCTGGCGAAAATGAGGCAATTCGGTGCTGTTTGGGCGCTAATTGAGGAGATGAGATCAGAGAATCCTCAACTCATTGCGCCTGAAGTATTTGTTGTGTTGATGAGGCGATTCGCATCCGCGAGAATGGTGAAAAAGGCGATAGAGGTATTGGATGAGATGCCCAAATATGGATGTGAACCAGATGAATATGTGTTTGGATGTTTGTTGGATGCTTTGTGCAAGAATGGTAGTGTAAAAGATGCAGCTTCCCTGTTTGATGAAATGAGAATGAGGTTTACGCCGACTATTAAGCATTTTACTTCATTGTTGTATGGTTGGTGTAGAGAGGGAAAGCTTATGGAGGCAAAATTTGTATTGGTTAAGATGAGGGAATCGGGGTTTGAACCAGACATTGTGGTGTATAATAATTTGCTTAATGGGTATGCTGTTGCAGGGAAAATGGCAGATGCTTTTGATCTTTTGCAAGAGATGAGGAGGAAGGGTTGTGAGCCAAATGTGACATCATTCACGATTTTGATTCAGGCCCTTTGTTCTCAGGAAAAAATGGAGGAGGCGATGCGGGTTTTCATGGATATGCAGAGGAGTGGCTGTGAGGCAGATATTGTGACTTACACTACTTTGATTAGTGGTTTCTGTAAGTGGGGAAAGATTGATAGGGGTTATGAGATTTTGGACAGTATGATACAGAGAGGACATAGTCCAAATCCCACAACTTATTTGCATATTTTGATGGCACATGAGAAGAAGGAAGAGTTGGAGGAGTGTTTAGAACTTGTGGAGGAGATGAAGAAGATTGGTTGTATGCCTGATCTCAATAGCTACAACACAGTAATTCGAGTGGCGTGTAAGTTGGGAGAGGTTAAAGAAAGTGTTCAACTTTGGAATGATATGGAAGGAAATGGACTGAGTCCGGGGCTTGACACATTTGTGATTATGATTCATGGGTTTCTTGAGCAAGGTTGTTTGGTTGAAGCTTGTGAGTACTTCAAAGAAATGGTAGGAAGAGGTCTTCTATCTGCTCCTCAATATGGTATCTTGAAGGACCTTCTTAATACCCTACTAAGAGCAGATAAACTCGAATTGAGTAAAGATGTTTGGAGTTGCATAGTGACTAAAGGATGTGAACTTAATGTGTATGCTTGGACAATCTGGATTCATGCACTTTTCTCAAAAGGGCACGTGAAGGAGGCTTGTTCGTACTGTTTGGACATGATGGATGCTGAATTGATGCCCCAGCCAGATACTTTTGCTAAGCTCATGAGGGGTCTGAGGAAATTGTACAACAGAGAGATCGCAGCGGAGATTACTGAGAAGGTGAGGAAGATGGCTGAAGAGAGACAAATAACCTTTAAGATGTATAAAAGACGAGGTGAGAGGGACTTGAAAGAGAAGGTTAAGGCGAAAAAAGATGGGAGGAAGAGGAGGGCTCGTCGACGCCAGTGGGGAAAGGGCCGTGGTAAAGCAAACTTGGTGTAACTTAAATCACGAAGATGCTGTGAAGTAAATCTGTTTGTCTTGCATAGTGGGTGCAGATGACTGTTTCCCACTGAGTTCTTGCATATGCACTATTTATGATGGGAAAGATACTGGACTCTCTTGTTGCTTGGAAGATTTTTATTCCAATCATTGGTGACAATCTATTGCAACGAGCACTTCATCCGAACAATGCAGGAGAGCTGCTTCTTGTCTCAGTCATTTTATTTCCCATATGGTATGAATGTGTTCTATATCCACCATCATTCCTAGTCTCGAACACCTGGTTCATGGAAATATTGTTTTCAATGCTTAAATTACTGGATCTGGGCTTCAAGCTTTGAAAGTGTCTTTTTTTTTTTTTTAATTTACAAATTGCAGTTTTCTTTAGAACTGTGCAATTATTGTACACATTTTATACACATATGTGATGACTGGTCTGCTGCCATTCATGGTACTGTCTTCTGTTTGGTTAAAATTCAGTTGTTACACTCATAGACATTGTTGCCTTTGCACTTAGGGTTGGCGGCAAGTCGTAAGATGTCAAAAATTCATCATGGCATGTCGTTTAGAATTGTTGAGTTAAATGACAATTAACTGGCACTGGCCTGAGCACCTTCAGCACAATAGTGCCACACTAACTATTCATAGTTCGCCACCAAACCAAACCATACTAAGCCTTGTATCCCAATCTAGTGGGATTAGTTATATGAATCCTCTTTTGCCACCAACAAAATTGGAAGGAAAATATTATAGAACAACTATAAAACCAGTGATGTTTTATAGAACAGAGTGTTGAGCAACTGAGAAACATGTACATAAAATGAGTGTAACAAATATGAGAATGCTTTGATGGATGTATAGCAAGAAAAGATAAAATTAGAAATGAATATATTTGTGAAATGGCAGGAGTAGCACTTCTTGAAGATAAATTAAGAGAGAAAATGTTAAGATGGTTTGGTCATGTTCAACAAAGACTTATAGATGTAACAGTAAGGAAGAGTAATAGGATCATCATTTAAAGATGAATTCATTTAATTTAATTGAGTATTTAGCCCTTGATAGAACTATAGAAAAAAATAAAAAGTAAACTATTTGTAGTTGCACATGGTTTATTTGCAAGCTCGTCTAGAGCTCCAATATTCTGCCATCAGTTCAAAGATCCTTGGTTGAGCTTATGGATTTATTGTAATTGAGCATATATAGCCTTTGACTATGGCAAAAAAAGATTCATGTAACCAATTCCACCTAATTAGGACATAAGGCTTAGTTCGGTAGAATTCCTTATATGAATTGACTGTCTGCTTTTTCATTGGTTGGTGTTAAAAATTTAGAGTGTTGGCAAAAACTGGTGCCTGCATGTAAAGTTATAAACCTCTTTTTTGTGTGCATGTGTGCACCTGTACACCCATTTTGGAATGAGTATTATTGAATGAGGATTTTAGATTTTAGTTTTACTAATTAGGTCCCTTCTTGTCTATTTCTCATTGACAGAAATATTGATTCCCCTCCATTCGTGCTTCCCCAAACCTGTTGTGTGAGAAATGGTTATATGATATTCTGCTGTATCTTCCATTCACTTGAATTCTTCTTGTGATCTCATAGTGATCTTTAGAATTTGTGCATTGATAACCAAACAGCAAGCTACCAAAATTTACTCCTTTCATTTGCAGTATGTATTGGACTCTAGTGCATCCAATCCTGATGAACAACAGGAAACTATTTTGCAAGTTCTTGAGAAGATTGGAGTATCTGAGGAAAAGATTGAGAATATGATTGAAATTTGAACCAAGGTACTATTCCCTACTCTCTAAACTGTTAGACTTGATTGATCTCTAGGAGAGGTAGGTGCTGATGATTTATCTCAATGATGGTGAAGTCAATGAAGTGGTGCAGAAGACATTGATGTGGCATGTGAGCATTGTTGTGGAGAACCTGTTGATGATTGTGATGACAATAGTGAAGAAATTTTGTCGGAGCTATCATGAGATCTTGAGGAGCAATGCAATTACTCTGCTCTGATGGCTGGCTCTTATCAGGAGACGAGCAAGAGACTTTTTTCAATGAGATGAGATGGGAAACTCCAAATGACCAACAAAGTATGTTGTGTGCAAAAAGATGGAAGGCCCAACAGGAGAGAGAATGAAATTTTTTTGGAAGGCGCATAAAAACTCGTCTTCAGGTGAGCTTATCAATTTTCTAATTGCTATTTGGAATCTTCTGTGTGCGGAATCACATTGAGATTTTGAGTGTTCTTATGGTAATGTACTCATATGGGGGTTGTGACTTTGGGTAGTAGTGTCTTTGGCTCTTGAGGTATGTTCTTTACAATGGACTTGTCTTGGTTTTAGCATATGTAAACCACATAGCAAGCTCTCGATGAAGACAATTTGTAATAGAGTAATGTTATACAAACAAAAAAATTCATACATAATTTTCATATACAATAATGTGGCTCATTACCCTTGGTATGGAAGCAGTTGCTTTTTGAGCATGAACTTTTTAGTAATTTGGAAGAGGAATTGAAGGAGGTAAGTGAGGTGCTGCATTTTTTTTTGTTTTTTGTTTGAAGGGTTTGCAAGTGAACTGTACTGCAGTATTTATTGGAGCAAGAGGATCTAGATCATGTAAAATCCCATGGTCAGGTTTAGACGGACCTTATGGACCAATTCATTACTTACAGGTTCACTGAAAAGGAAAGAGATTTCAGACACGTGAAAAGTCTCTTTTTAATTTTACTCGTAATAACATTATAAGTTATGTTAATTTTACAAAATTGAACTCAATTATCATGTTATTAAGGGTGAATTTTGAGTTTTAAATTGTGAGTTTCTAATTTGTTATTTTTTTTAATTTATTTATAAAATTTGAAACTATTAAATTAAATCAAAAGAATTATAGAATCAAAGCAAACTAAAACAGGTTGGCAGTTTATAACAACTTGTCACCATCACAATTTACTCACAAAAATATTATTCAATGCCAATATTGTGGAACCAAATTGTTAATAAGTCATTGTCCAAACAATCTCTGTCAATAAACCATTAACCAAGTGACAGTGGAAGGGAGCTAATTATGGAGTGTTGTTATGAGATTACTCATATTAAATTTAACACAAGTATTGTAGGATGTTATAAAATAATGAATAATGATACTAATTGGTATATCAATTAGTGTTCTAACATATGATGTAGTATAATTTTAGAAATTTTGAATATTTATAATTTGTATAATGGAAAAAGTCAATAATAATGACATAAGGTATGTTGGTACATTAATTGGTATATCAATTAGTGCATGCGACACCACCATAAAATAATTGATAAGTAACAACTTTTATATACATATATAAATCATTACTACAAAATTGTATATCACCACACGGACAATCTACTTAATTTTACAACGATTATTAATATATTACATTTCTTATACAATCTGTAAACTCATTTAAAATCTAAGATCTCAAAACATTCTAAAAAGAATTTGTGAAGATAAAAACAAATTAATTTGGTAAGACTAAACATCCACCTACATCCATTGACTAAAATATTCTAAAAAGAATTTGTGAAGATAAAAACAAATTAGTTTGGTAAGACGAAAGATACCTACATCCATTGACTAACATTAGAGAATTATATATATAAAAAAAACATATATTAAAGCATATTACTCCTACGTAGGATTGCCGCCGACACCATCCACAGTTTAATTTAATTCAACTCATCATTACATATTATATTATACTACTACTGATTATGAGAGTTAATTATATCAAGACCTCTAAATTATTTGCAAATATTATTTTATTTTCTTATTTATCTTGATTTTTTAATTATAAAAATTATATAAATACATTTTTTTGGACGTCGTCCGAACCAAGTGAAAGTGATACATTTTTAAAGATGAGGTTGGTCAAAATTAGACATGATAAACATATCAAACAACTCGAGCTCAACTCGTTAAAGTTCGTTTAAGCTCAGTTTGTTAAATAAATAAGTCAATCTTAAATACATTTTAAGACTCATTAAAATTTTCAAACTAAACTTAAATAATCAATTATTCGTTCAACTCAATTTGATATGACTAAAACCATATAAATACCAAATTAGTCAAGCTCCACTTGACAAAAAAAACTCAAGATTAGTTCAAAAATTTAGGGGTGGATTGACATTTCCTAAATAATTTTTTTTTTAATCTTTTTTTTTCATTACATTACCTCTCTACTTTTTTGTACTTCTTTTCGTAAAAATTCAAAAAATACACTTATTTAAATCATTTCAAACAATCCTTAATCGACACGGACTAAGCTTGAATAAATTTTAAAATCCATTAAAATTTTCAAACAAAATCTAAACAGTTGTTCGGCTCCTTTGACTCGTTTTTCACCTTTAGTCAAAATACACAAATTCATAGACAGAACATGAAAAATAAAGTGATAATCACTGATAGATGTTGATGTAATTAACCTTAATAATAATTGCTAAACCGTGTAGAGCACAATAACGCGCGTAATACAACGACCTCATCGTACAACGACAGCCTCCGATTTAATAAAGCTGTTAATTCCGTTTTTCCAATAATCTCCCCCCCCCTCTCTCTCTCTCTCTCTCTCTCTCTCTCTCTCTCTCTGTGTTTCGAAATTACATACACACATATACACAACTTCTATTAGCAGATCTAAGATCCACAATTTACAGATCCCGAATGTCTCTGCTTCGTTCGCTGATCTGAAGGTTACTTCATTGATTCAATTGTTCTGTTGAATTTTTTTGTTTAATTGATTCAATTTTTGATTCGCATCGCTCTCATTTGTTTAATTTCTTCGTAATTTGAATAATCTTTTGTGTCCGATGTGTTTATTCAATGTGAACATTCGGAGGAAAACTTTTCCAGATCTGGGTTCGATTCGTAATTTATTACTGTATGTGTTCCATGTTTTGAATTTCGATTCTTGTTCGAGATTTGTATTTGATACTGTTGAGTAGCTAAGGTCCCCTGTTTCCATGACTTCATTACACTCATTTTATGAATGTTTCATTGTAATTGTTAACCATTTCAAGCTTTCTACATCATTGTTTTTTCACTTATTTTAATCTTTCAATTTTGTCTTTTCTATCCATAGTGAATAGCTTATCTTGCAATGTTTGTTGTTTCTTTTGTACCAGTGTAAAAATCATATAGGTTCACTGTAATTTAAAAGCAAATAGTCATCATGTCAAGGAGGCATGCAAATCCCTCAAGGCGCTTGGCAATCAATGGTCCATTTGGGGGAGTTTTCCAACCCAAATCACGCGTTTCTCCTCTATTATCCCTTGTCCTCGTCGTTGTGGTACTTCTCATATTCATAGCTCATCTTCCTCATTTTTTTGCTTCACATTTTGTAAGGACCCTTTGTTTTGTCAAGAGGTTATAATTGCGAAGAAATCATTTCAGCCCTTCGTTACATATTATAGTCTTCCCAGCTTCTGAAGACCATGCTGAATTATCACAATTCTAACCTTCTTTCCCCCCCTCCCCTTTTCTGAAACTTGCAGGGCTTGGTGTTTGTTATAGGCCATTTTCGCGGTGGCTCAGGTATGTGTTGGATTTGTGTAGAAACCCACTTTCTTTTTTCTTTTTTAATCATTTTTGGATGTCAAAAACCAGTTGCTATATCACCTGAAATAATCTCTAGCTTTTAGATTACTTAGGCTACCTATTCATATCTCGCTCTCATAAAGAATTCTTATATTTGGATTTGTTAGCTGATGTCGCAATTATATACATCAACTGAACTGTTACTCTCATAACCTAGGTACATTTGGGGGTCGCAAAGATGCAATTAGCAAGGTTGAAGGTAAATTTGCTTAATTGTCTCATGTATTGCTTTATGGGTGATGATTGAGACCCCCTCCAATCACCACCCCCACCACCCCTACACACGCGTGGCGGGTGGTGATTGGAGGAAAATGAAAAAAAAAGAAAAGAAAAAGAAAAAGGGACCAATCATAGGAAGAGGGGGTCAAGGGAGTGAGTAAAAAAGGGGGTCCAAGTCATTATTCTTGCTTTATTTATTTTTGTTGGTTTATACGCCTTCAGTTTTATTACATCTGCAAGAGTCACACTTTAGCATTTTTGCAAAATTGGCCGGTGATTATAACTAACTATACACTGATGTAATTTTAAAAAGATTGAAATGTTTGGAATTGGAGCATTTATATCTACAACCTAAACTTCTTAGGATGTTCAGCAACAGAACAGTCGGAAGTGGCTTCTTTTCCTTTAGCATATTGATGTTATTGAGTCAGCCCCAATGGTTAGGCGGACAGAAATTTCTGAAACCCTACATTAGAGAGGATCAAAGCTTTTAATCTCAACAAATTTTTGAAAATTGAAAACATGGGATATATTTCAATTTTGAGCCGTTTTAGAATTTGTCATTCTTTTAAATGTAGTATTTCCTCATTAGGAGAAATATTAATGCTATACTTTGTTATCAAAATCTTATGATTCGTGATTCGATTCACGATTTGATTCGTAATTTTTGTAAAATCGATACGAATCTATGGATAAATCTATTTTGGAAGTGAATCTCTAGTGAATCCTACGATTCATAATCGATTCACAATTCGATTCACTTTTTACAATTCATGCAATTTTTAAAATTATTTTGTCCGACATATTTTTAACTCTTTTTTTATCCATCTTTTCGGTGAAAATTACATAATACAATTTTCAGTAGCGTTTAATACCAAAATAACTAACGTATATATATAATTTGTTATTATTTTAGTAATTATGGAGTTTTTAATAGGATCCAATCAGATTCAGTCAGACCCAACATATTTTTAACATTTCTTCTCATTTTTTTTTCCTTTAAAAAATTATAACATATCTTCTAAAGATATTTAAAATTAAAGTTACACTATGAATTATCTGTTACTACTTTATTAAAGGGGTACTTACGTTTAGGTCCTAATAAGTGGATTTATTGTCTAATAAGTCCTATGAGAAAATTGTTATAAAAAAAGTCACTAATTGTAAGTTTTAAAGACAATTTATAAAAATCATGACAAAAACAAGTAACTAATTGTTAATTTTTAGCGACATATAAAAAATTGTCACAAAAAAATTATTTTTAGCGACAATTTTATCCTGACTTATTGTCAATAGGACTTGATGGGAATTAAGTCCAACTATTAAGACATATTGGTAGTTTACCCTTTATCTTTAAATTGAATATTACATGTGTAAGATCGGTTATACCTTTTAAAATGTTTTAGGTTTTAAAATAAAATATTCTAAATAATTTTGTCTTATTATTTACTCACTGTTACTAGAAAAGTATGTATACTTATTGTTCAAATATCATTATTGTTGTTAATTGTTGTTACTTTAGAAATTGATAATTTGTCTACTTGGTTATTATCTTTATTAAGAATGGTTGATAATAAATATCTAAAAAAAAAAATGTAAGATGGTGATCTTACATAGGAATCTTTGTTAACTTTTTACCTATTAAACTACGTGATTATCATTCAAAATAACATTTTCATAGATTTAAGTCTAAATATTTTATATTCATAAGATATATTTAACATCTAAATGTGCAGATATATGTTTTCAAGTAATTTAGAAAAAATGACCGAATCTTTATGATTCATGATTCGATTTGATTCGCTATTCGGTACGAGGTTATTTCGATTCACAATACGAATCCCGATTTAACAAGTATGATGCTATAGCTGAAATGGGATTTTGTTCTCTTTCCATCCCACAAATCATTATTCAAGTTGTGGCCAAAACTGAGGTTTAAATTGCTAGAAATAAAGAACCACTAAAATTTTTTGTATCAATTTTCCTGACTAATTTCTCATCATCATGTAGGTGACTTTTCTTGCACACTCGATGTTCAGAGAGCAATACCTTCTTTAAAGAAAGCATATGGTGACAACATGCGCAAAGTTTTGCATGTGGGCCCTGATTCTTGCTTAGTGGTCTCTAAATTGTTAAGAGAGGAGGAAACTGAAGCATGGGGTGTAGAACCATATGACATGGAAGATGCCGATGGGCACTGCAAATCTCTTGTACGCAAAGGCATTGTGCGTGAAGCTGACATCAAGTTTTCTCTGCCTTACAGAGCAAAGTCATTTTCTCTGGTTATTGTATCAGATGCACTGGATTACCTCTCACCAAAGTACCTGAACAAGACTCTTCCGGATTTGGCAAGAGTGTCTACGGATGGTCTTATTATTTTTACAGGTAATTTTCTTGTTAGAAATTCTTGTTGAGTTCATTGAATGCATTTCTTGTATCATTTTTGGTAAATATGTTTTATTTGTTTGGTAAGATGTGATTTTTGTATAACCGCTTTTCAATTTCATCTTTAGGTTATCCTGGAACACAGAGAGCTAAAGTTGCAGAGTTATCCAGATTTGGACGTCCGGTAAGTGGATATCTGCTGAATTTAGTTATTTCATTGTGCTCTTTCCTTATACTTCATCTTCTACAAACGTGTTCAGGATCTGTAAAATGTAATTTACTAAATTGTAGTTTCAATGATACCTAATCAGTTTGCTGTTAAATCGTATACATGCTAAGTGGAATTAATTCTCATTTGGTTTTTCCCAATATTCATCAATATCTATATATATATATTTGAACACACCCTGGACAAATACTGAGTTATAGCTTCAAGACGGAAGTTTGAGATGAATCTGACTCTGATGTATCCTGGATAATTTGATTTGGTCATACTCATACTATTTGGTTTTTAAAATTAGAACTTGTGTAAAAAACCAAGGATGTCGAATGAAGTTGGTTGGGGGGTGGGGGGGGGGGGGGGGGGGATAGGTAATATCTTTGTGAAATAGCCAATTATGGTTGATAAACTTGCGGTAAAAAGGTTTTATGGTATTTGGGGCTTTATTTCTGCTCCTGTTCCTATATTCATAACTCAATGCAGCAGTTCTTAGTGAGAAAATGACTGCTTTTAATGTTTCACATTTCAAGGCCAAAATGCGGAGCTCATCTTGGTGGATGCGATTCTTCGTCCAGACCAGCTTAGAAGTGAATGAAGCCACCACTAAAAAGTTTGAGCAGGCTGCAATCCATTCAGGCAAGCTGAGCTGCCAAGTGTTCCACCTCAATTCATATCATAGATAGTTCAATGATCTCATTCATAATTTTGTACGTTTTTGAAACATCTAAGTCCAACAGTGTTTTCAGTTTTCATATGAAATGTGCCCTAAACGGGGATGTTGATCATTTCACTGCATATTCTGTCCTGCATTATATAGTCAATATTTACTAACGAAAATTGTTGAAAGAAGTGTGCCTGAACTGTTTCCATACATGTGCTTCTGAAAATTACCTCTCTCATTCTTGAACATCACAATTATCCTTCAATAACTTCACCATCTTTTCCTGTTAATTTTTTATCACTTATAATAAGATTAAAGAGTGTCCAGATGTTTCTTCTTGGTTCTTTAAGCTAGGAAGCTCTGTTCTGGATCAAATGGATAGAACATTGCTTAGCAAAAAAAAAAATTAAAATAGACACAACATTGGCAGGAAATAACCGTATGGTATAGCTGGTAAAAAAAAACTAGATATATCAAAGCACAAGGTCTCAATCACAAGCAATATGTTTGGATCATGGATTTGGCTAGGCATCTGAAAACAGAAAGGAAAAATGCGAGATAAATTAATGTGAATCATTGTTCTTTTCATTCCCAAATGCCAACCCAAATCCATGATACGAAAAACACTAGGGAAACAGGAATAATATAGAAAAGAGAACAACTTTTCTTTAATTTTTTTCTCTCAAAACCAATTCCTTTGCCTCAAAAGCTTACAACCCAATTTACAGTAACATTGCTTGGTAAGCAATGAAGGCATGATTTTGAAAAAATTTAAATGTAACTGTGTGGGTGATTTTCCGATCACACTACCCAACTTAGTATTCAGCTGGAGAACACTGGCAGAATAGATGACACCTGGCTAACCTATAACAGAAAGAGAAGATTCCGGCAGTGGTTCGACCACCCGGGGGCACTCCGACGATCAAGTCAGTATATCTCTCAAAGATAATCAATAATGCTAAACTCAATGCTCAAAGCATAAGATTGCGTACCTTAGACCCACGGGGGTGCCTCTCTTTTATAGTTACCTCAATCCAAATCCCATTAGAAGCCTAACTTCTATGGATTCCTGTTCAGTACTTACCTTGGACTCCTCAAGAGATAAAGATAAACTCCCTAAGAGCTTTATCCTTATCTTGGCTAAGTCTCCTCTTTATTCTAGGACTCTTATCCCTTATCTTTTATCTGATTATCTCGGATTCCGATATCTTCGGAGATAACCTCGGCTTACACGAGATCACCTCGGCGTCATGACCCTGACACGTGGTAACTCGGCTGACACGTCGGCGTCACCTTGCCACGTGTTGGTACTCAAAAATATATCCCCACAACTGCCCCCTAGGTTCTATTACCTCGGTATTCTGAGGTGATGGTACCTATATCACTCCGTTTTCTCAATACGTCGGTTTTCAGTATCTCAGCCGAGATCATTATTTTGGCCGACATGTCTTTGCTGATGAACAAGAACTTCAAGAACCCTTTCACGCGTATGAGTTGTCATACACCATAATTCAACCATTTTTAGCCACGCGTTTCTTTCTTACTGGTTTGTACCTATGACGCGCCCGTAAGCCGTCTCTCTCTCACGTGCGCCGTCTGACGCATACGTTCTTCCAGGCATATTGATTACTTTTTACCACCGTTTTCATTTTTAACAAAACATCTATTCGTTTTTTTTCTTTTCACCTTATTTTCGTTTTTGGAAAACTTTTTCTCTCTCTAACTTTCTCTTCTCGAGTCCGCCATTGTTCAAGCTTCCTTGCTCTGAAACTTATTCCGTTCACCCCTCCCAGCGTGTTTTGCACCATTTCGTTGCCTCCACGACCGTCGTTTGACTTCGGCGATCTTTACACCGGCTTCATATTTTCTAGTAAGCAACTGTTTTCTTCTTATTCCAGTTCTTGATCTTTTCTGGCATTTCTCGTTATTACTGCCTTGCTCAAATATTTAATTTGTGAATCATACATCTGAATGCATTGATTTTACTTTTTGCTTATGCCTTATATACATGGACTGTTCATAGTTTTCTTGCACGTCTTGCCACTGTTCTTGGCCTTCAACCCTTTGTATTCTTCATGTTTTTGATAGTCCATCTTTGTTCTTGATTCTGAAACTTCGTCTTTGTTTTCTGTTTTTTGTGTCTTTTCCAGATCTGTGCCTTTAATCTTCATCTCCATAGTTTTAGGTTTGGGATTTGTCTGTAGAACCCACATTTTAGGAAAAACTGAAACATCCCTTACAAATTTCCGCACCAGTTCAAACTTAGGTTTTTTGCCGAGGTCCCAATAACCCTTTTTGAAACATCTTCTTTTTGAAATCCAATACCTTTAGTTATCCCGATATTATGGGTATGTGGAAACATCGGGTAGACACCCCTTCTAGCTAGACTTTTTTAGGCAAGAGTTTGAAATCCCAGCCGATGTCAATCTGAGGTTGGCTGGGGATGATGACTCCATCATGCCTACTGACCACTCCATGCCCTTCCCTGTGGTTGCCTTTATTGAGTGTGGACTTCGATTTTCACTTGACCCTTTTTTTCCGTCAAATCCTTCATTTCTATAAATTGAACCCAATGCAACTCGCCATCAATTCTTACCGAGTTATTACTGGTACCATAGCTTTAGTTAAACAAGAGAATGCCAGGATTATGCTTGCCGATTTCCAGTACTGTTATACCATGTGTCACCTTAGAAAAGACACGGACTATGTCTATTACCTTAAGCCGAGATCCACCGAATATAAAATCGTAGCCGACCTCCCAGACTCCAGCAAGGGGGCTGGAGATGACTATTTCATTACCACGAGAAATTGGGAGTTTGCTCCAGGCGAGGACATCCATCTCTACCCTCTTCCTTGATTACTTTGTCTGTTTCTGACATCTATTCTTCTTACAGTTGTTCGTAAGCCACCGAAAAAATTTCGCCAATCCTTTGTTCCCAACAAGGATTTGAAGAAACTTTTGGACTTGCCAGTCCATAAAACGAAAGCGCCTGTGCTTCTCAATTTTATTCCAACATATAAGTCAACTTTGCCCGACGTTCCCAAAAGGAAGAATATCCCAGCAAGGATTTGAAAAAACTTCTGAACTTGCCAATTCACAAACGAAAGGCGCCTCTACTCCTCAACTTTATTCCAACATACAGGTCCGCTTTGCCCGACGTCCCTAGGAGGAAGAAAAAAAGCCTTTCTCCACCATCTGCCACAACTCCACAAACCGCATCCACATCTCGGACAGACCAGGGGTCAACCTTTGATCCAGCCGAGCAACCGTCAACTTCAGCTCCATACTTGGTTCCAATATCATAGCACCGCCGCCGACGCCGAACAGTTTCTACTGCCGAGATGGGTCGCCCAAAACCAGTTGCAAAAGATCTTCTGGCCAGCATTCCATCATTTGTCAACGATCAACCAGCACAAACCCTTCCGCCACCGAAGCCGAAAAGAATAAAAAAAGCTCAGCCAAAGGCTAAAGTTACTCAAGTTGAGTCTGAGGATGCTCTGCCAATCTCCAAGTTGGCTGAGAGTGACAAGTCTCAACCTTCTGCTAGGAAGAGGCGCTCTAAAGCCCAACCATTCGAATCGCCAAAATCAAAGAAGCCGAGGTCATCTTCCGCAACGACCTCGGGGTCCAAGAAGCCTGCTACTCCCTGGGCCCCTGAAATAACCTTGGAAGATAAACCAGTCATGGCCAATGATAGCGCCGAGGATATCAATGTCGGCGTTGCGCTTAGTACTGCTCTACTTCTGCCAGGAGATCTGAAGCGAAACGCCGGCTTCAGCGAGCACGAGAACTATGCCTTGATGCTTCAGCGTTCTGTCCAAGTATGTGTCTTTTATCTGGCACTTTTTCTTTTTCATACTTAGAAAATTTTCTAATAACTTTCGCTCTGTTCACTTTCAGGCCATTCAGCATGCTCATTCCTTTTCAATTTAGTCTTTTGAAAATCGGGAGAAGTTGGCCGAGATGAAGAAGGAGTTCTCTTCTCTTCAAAAGACCAACAAAGGTCTTCAATCAAAGATGTAAAAATTGGAGGACTAAACCGAGGCTGTAATCAAAGCTCAGACCAATGCCGAAGAGAAGGCTGAGGCTGTTGAGGCTATCAGGAAAGTGGTTGAGTCTCAGAAGAGAGAAGCCGAGGAAAAAATGGTCCAAGCCGAAAAGGAGCTTCAGCAGGCACTGGCCACTAAAGAAGCCGAAATAAAAGACGCCGACGAGAAGGCGTATGCCCAAGGCATGGCCGACGTCACAGATGCCTACGAACAACAGGTGAAGGAGGCATGCAACAAGGGTTTCACCCTTGGTTGGATGTCCTTTCTAAAGAAACTCAATGTCCCAGAGGACTCACCATTAAGAAAAACTGATGCTATTCCTCTTCCATTCCCCCCAGCTCAACCTCCAAGTCAAGACGTCGGTGAATCTGAGTCTAAGGATGGTGATGAGGAAGAGGATGAGGCTTTGGTAAGAAAATCCAAAAATACTAATGGGGCCAAGTCTCCTCTTCAGAATGAGCAAGTCCTAGACTTGACTCAGGATGAAGAAGTCGATGAGGTTAACAAAGACGCTGCTTATGAGAAGGAATCAGCCGATGCCACCCTTGCTGATAAGAACCTTGATGACACTCTTGCAGAAATTGACGTCGAGGTCGCGGCAGATAAGGCTGTTGAGATGTCTTTTCAACAATCATCTGATCTTCAAATTCAACCAACTGGTGGAGAGGAGTCTTAACTTCATGTTTTTCTTTTGCTTACTTGTATTTTGTTTCTTCTTTATCTTTTGGAACAATATAAGCTTTTTGTATGGCCGATGTGCCATTTTCTTGGTGAATGCTAATACAACTTTTCTCTTTTAAGTGCTTGCACTCTTGTCTTCTCTTTATTGCCTCTGCATGATTCTATACTTAGAATATTCTGCATGTCTTTCACATACTTTTCTTTCTTTGTACAATCTTCTCGGGGTGACACACCTCGGATAGACAAACTTCTTGGTTTTAATCTTAACTTGTAAACTTTTAACAAGTGTTGAACATCATACTGGTTTAACTCAACTTATAAATTGTCCACAAATTTAAACAAGTGTTAAACAATGACTTCAGTTTAACTTAACTTGTAAATTGTCTACAAATTTCAATAAGTGTTAAATAATGATTTCGGTTTAACTCAACTTATAAATTGTCTACAAATTTCAACA